CCATACAAGAAATGCGTTGGTTGGGGCAAGGCAAGCAATGTCTGGGGCCTTGCGACATCTACTACGGCTGCCTTGGAAAGGAGTGCAAATTCGGAGTTGGATTTGTTGTGGGAGGGAGGCTCCTTCGCCGAGTACTGTCGTTCACCCCGGTGGACGAGCGCCTAGCCACAATCCGCTTCAAAGCGAGATTCTTCAACATCTCGCTCATCTGCGTCCATGCCCGACGGAAGAGAAAGATAAGGCATTCAAGGATCTCTTCTGTGAGCGCTTGGAGTGCACGTACCAGCGCTGCCCCAGCCATGATATCAAAATTGTGCTTGGCTACTTCAATGCCAGGGTGGGCAAGGAAGGGATCTTTGGAACCACCGTCGGAAAATTCAGCCTCCACGACGAAACTTCCGACAACGGATTGAGACTGATCTACTTCACCGGGCCCGAAACATGGTAGTTTGCAGTACTAGGTTCAAGCATAAAAAGATACATCAAGCTACGTGGCTGTCTCCGGATCGAAAAACGTGAAACCAAATCGATCATGAAGTGATAGACGGAAGGCACGTTTCCAGTGTTTTGGACGTACGCACACTCCGAGGCCCAACCATCGACTCGACCCCTATCTTGTTGCAGCCAAGATACGCACCCGCCTCTGCGCAGCAAAAAATGTGCGCCCAAATATGCAAGGAAAGCTTAACGTCGAAAGCTGCAATCACAACAGACAGCCAGTGCTTTCGCTACTCGCCTTTCACACCTGCTCTCAGAGAGCACTCTTCAACAAACCGACACATGCGTGCAGTGGAACCACATTTCCGGCTTATTAAGTACCGCCGCCGAAGAAGTAGTCGGATTTCAGAGAGCCCGAAGCAACAACTGATGAGGAGTGTCAGGAAGCTGCAGAGAAAAAAGATGCCGCCTGCAGGGTCACGCTGCGATCAGGCGTAACGCGCGCTATGTGGGACTGCTATAGGGATCTGAAGAGGGAAGCGAGACGTATTTGCCGCAATAAGAAGAGAGAGGTCGAAATACGGGAGTGCGAAGAGCTTGAAATGCTGGCCTACAGGAAGAATGCCCGAAAATTTTAGCAGAGAGTTAGGCGATTTAACCGATTTTCAGAACGTACTTAAATTATGGAGGAAACACTTCCACTTCCACTGAATAGTACCAGCACGGAAAGTTGTGAAGAAGAACCCGAGCCCGCAGTCGATGATGACGGAGTCGATGTTCCTCCGCCTGACTATAACGAAGTGCAAATAGCAATAACGCGGCTGAAAAACAACAACGCTGCTGGAGCTGACAGCCTTCCAGCTGAGCTATTCAAGTGCTGCGGCGAGGAGTTGATAAGGTTCATTCATCAACTCTTGTGCAGAATATGGTCAGATGAACGCTTGCCTGACGACTGGAATTTAAGTGTGCTCAATCCACAAGATCCGCCATTCGCGCCAGCTAACGCGGGATCAGCCTTCTAAGCATAGGTTACAAGGTCTTATCGGCGTATTGTGTGAAACACTGGAGCCCGCCGTTATTGGGCCTTTTCAGTGTGGCTTTAGACCTGGCAAATCCACCATAGACCAGATATTCACAATACGCCAAATCTTGAAAAAGACCCGCGAAAAAAGGATCGACACTCACCACCTATTTGTCGACTTTAAAGCCGCTTTCGACAGCACCAAAAGGAGTTGCCTGCCTATGTCTGAATTTGGCATCTCCTCAAAACTCATACGGCTCACAGTGCCGCGACTCCATACAAATCATGGACAAAAATAGAAGGAGTGGTCAGAATTGGCTGAAACTTCACANGGAAAGACCCGTCCGAGCCGTTCGCCACTAAACGGGGTTTCACACAGGGCGACTCCCTTTCATGTGACTTCTTTAATCTGATGTTGGAGAAGATAATAAGAGCTGCAGAACTGAACCGCTCAGGAACAATTTACTACAAGAGCGTGCAATTGCTGGCTTATGCCGATGACATCGACATCATCGGTAACAAAAACCGCGAAGTCTGTTCTGCCTTTTCCAAGTTGGATAAGGAAGCAAAGCGAATGGGTGTGGTAGTAAACGAGGGCAAGACGAAGTATTTTGAGAAAGTAGAGAATGTCGTTTACTTGGGAACCATCATTAACACCGATAATAATGCCAGCATGGATATCCTACGCAGAATCGCTCTAGCCAACAAGTGCTACTTTGGACTGAGTAGTCAATTCTCGACGTACGAAAACCACACTTGTCATGCCCGTGCTAGTATAATGCGCAGAAGCATTTACAATGACAACATCCGATGAGGCGGCTCTTGGAGTATTCGAGAGAAAGATTTTGCGGAAGATTTACGGACCTTTACGCGTTGGCGACGGTGAGTACCGCAGACGATGGAACGATAAGCTCCGCTGGCTTGGCCATGTCGTTCGAATGGACACCGACGTTCCAGATCTGAAAGTATTCAACTCGGAACCCGCTGGTGGTAGCAGAGGAAGAGGGAGGCCCCCACTGCGATGGAAAGATCAAGTGGAGAAGGACTTGCCTTCACTTGGCGTTTCCAATTGGCGTCAGTTGGCACAAAAGAGAAACGACTGGCATGCTTTGCTGAAGAAGAAGAAGAAGAAGAAGAAGAAGAAGAAAAAGCAACCCTTTTTGGTAAGTTTCGGCTGATATAGTGCAGTCTCAAGAAGATACATCCTGCCAAATTGGTGTCTTCTCACCAAATTTTTCCACTTCAAAACATGACACTGACTGCTCATCTGTACAGCCCTTCCATTTCGTGTAGAACTGTTGACCTGGTAACTTTCTTTAGTCCATTTTGACCTAAGTTTCATCGTCTATCACAATGCTCTCAACGGAGTCACGAAACAAACGTTCGTACAATTTTAGGAGCCTTTTTTTACCCACTTCCAGTTGTCTTTACATTTTTAGTTTTTTTTTTTTGGTTTTTTCTGTTTTTTGCAAGTTTTCAAATTATGTCTTTCTTAACTCTTTGTATCATGGACGCACTTGTTTTTGTCTTTTTGCCAAATATCTCGCGGACATTGTTTTGTTTTGGTTTATTAAAGCCAGTAAACTTTATTCAAGATTTTGGCCAGTTGCACACTTGTTTTCTTCCACTTTTTGGCCTGTCTTTGATGGAAGCAGGATCACCAAACTTGTTAATGACGTTTTGCCACTATCTACGCTGACTTTATACCGTTTGGCCAACTATCGATACGAAAATGCTTTTTCAGTGGAGTAATTGTACATAATTTTCTTTCGCACTTCCTCTTCGGTTTACGGCACACAATGGTCCGGATTATTGAAAACTCGCGCATGAGGCAAAAAAGCGAACATGCGAAAAAATGAATTTTGATACTTGATACGTGTTAGGGATACCCTACAGGTATCACATGTGAATGACATTTCAATTATTATTTTTTTTTCAGCACCCTAAGAAAAAGGTTCTTATGAGCAGTGTACTTCGGCTTTGATTTTTTGTTATTATATTAGAGAAGCTTACGTGGTATTGCGATAATTGGTAGTTTAACGATTTTGTACAGATTACCACAAAGTACATATTTTAAGAAAATGATTTTTATATTGCGGTGCTTGCTTCGGTCTGCATTTGATAAGTCTTCAAATCTTCGCCTTTTCCCTCGTTTTTTTTATATATTTATTGTAAACTTTGATTGAGTGCATCCTTTTTTGCACAGTTTTGCACACTAAATCTGTGCATTGAGGGTAAAAAGGGACTTATCTAAAGTATATGGACGTAGGTTTTGTTTACATTCATTTGCCTTACCATTCGCAAATCGGAATTTACGTGACCACTATAGTACGTCAAACATTTGACAATATTGAGAGCTATAACTTTTTTAAGTAGATTTCAGTACTACTGATAAGTATTCGATAATGAAGTTTAAATGTATTTACATAAAAAGAGGAACCAGAAGTGAAGTAAAATTTCAATAATTATTCCAGATCTCAAAAAATAATTAGGTTAGGTAAAGCAATATACTGTTATTTAAATTTTTTTTCGTAAAGAAATAAAAGCTTGTTCAATACTGCAGTAACATATCAATTCAATGTTTTGTAAAACATAGTAGCCTTTTACATGCGGACTTAATTGCGGAGTATTTAGCTGCTTCTTTCGATCGTTGTGTGATATGGCTTCAAAACGCTATTTTGGCAATTTTTTATGTTTTCTTTGCTGGAAATCTTTGGCAATCTAATAGGTTTCACATTATTGAGAGCAATTATTTATTTTAATATGGATTCGATCTCTGCCGGTAATCATTTTAAAACAAAAATTTTAAGTTTATTAAACAAAATATTTTACATTAGTACGTACGTATCGCGTTTTGGGACGACGTTTCCTGGTAGAAAGCTGAGAACCAGAAGATTCTGACATCTCGGAAGCCTTGTGACAAATTTATCATTTACAATTTTTGAAGTGTGAATAATGAAACAGACGAAAAATATATACAATAGTCGAAATAATTATAGCCGCACCAGATTTTGACAAGTTTTAACATATTATTTTTGTTATTTAATTTTGGTTATTTTTTTTTTTATAAAAATATAGATCATTCATTAAAAAAACCCGTGTAAATCCAAGTTTTAAACTTTGTGCAATACTTAAAAAAATTCAATAAACTTTGGTAAAAATTTTAACTTTTTTAATTACATTGCCTAGAAAGATTCTTAGTATGTAGTTTTATAGCCCATTGAATTCTAGTACAACAAAGAACACGGGTGTTGTTAAAGATTGGACTATATTTTTATTAAAAAAATAACAACCAAAAGAATATGTTACAACTTGTCAAAATTTGGTGCGGCTATAATTATTTCCACCACGGTATGTACATACATACTAGGGATGTTGCGAATGTGGAATTTTAGACATCCGCGGATGTGAATGTGAATGTCAAGTATTTTTAAGGAATAATTTAGGTAAGTAAATTAGGTGATTTAGGTAATAATAATAATTATAGATTGGCGCTTTCTATTTAATTTTTCAGCTTCATGACGCTGCTGCAAACAAAATATTCAAATAAAAACTGATCTTTTGAATAAAATTTAGCAAATATTTTTACCGCTTTTAATTGGCGGAAGTTTTGTGGTATCTTTGCAGCCGAGACCAAGAGAAAAGCTCCGCTTCGCTTCGTTCAGTGTGAACACCAGCAACTTCGTTTTGTTTCGCTTTGTTTCGCCTTGCTGCGCTCGGCGCCGCTCGACTTTCTGTGCGTACGCGACCTTAGACTCTTTTAAAATGGCAGCAGGCTTGTGGAAAGCTGTAAAACTTTTTTGAATCACTTGGAAGCTTATAGGGCTGTAGCAAACCGTATGTATTCGTTACTCTAACTCGAAAGTACCGAATCGTTACTCATATAATCGTCGCTGGAATAATGAAATAGTGTAACATGAAAAGTATAGTTTTGAGAAAAACGAATTGAAAGTTTTTATAAACCATTACAAACCATACAAATACAATTTCGTTTTTCGGGAGTAAATTAGTGAGCCAAAGAGATATTTAAGAAAACTAAAGATTTTTCTAATAGATTAAAGGATTGTCTATCCAATGGTGCAATTATCGAATAATAGTGTATGTGGCATTTACACTGTTTCTTTATTCGAGCGACGTAATAATCTCGTTACTCGCATGTTCCGTATATGCACCATCATCGTGAATCAATACAACACAACATATTGTGCGGTAACGAAACTGTTTTTCGTATCGATACTAAAGTCTGTTGCGTGTGTATGTACGTACATGCATGCATGATTCGTGTGAGGTACAAGTGCTTGATTGAATTAAATTGTTCGGATCGGTACAAAACTATGTATTGCTTATACCAGGATTTTAACTCTCATTCCTTCACGTTTGATATATCAGATCCGATTTTCAGCATTAAAAAATCGATACTGTCCTCTCTCAATAAATGAATCATTAAAATAAAGAAATAAAATCGGCTGATGAATTTAGTTCTGTAGCTGAACAGTTTTAGATCTCGACACTTAACAAACTCCTGCCTATCGTGACTCGGCGCAAAAATTGAAAATACTGGTTCCGTACGTCATGCGGACTGCGCCCCTCGTGCGGATGGGCGGGATTGAAGGGTAAACCCCGTTGGGATATTATTATTATTATTATATATGTACATGTATGTATATGTATGAACGAACATTTCCTTCCTCTGCAAGAATCGTTGCGATGATTCTTGTGAGGTACAAGTGCTTGTAGTACCGAGTCGTTACTCACATAATAATCTCGTTACTCGCATGTTCCGTATGTGCAAAATCAACGTCAATCAATAAAACACAACATAAGGTGCAATCCCGTATTCCTCGGACTCGGCTAGTAAAACTGTCAAAAAATAAAAATTCGCTCAGAGCGAGAGAGTAACATTGAAAAGTACGGGATCGCTTTCTAGTAAAAAATGGTAACTTCTGTCAACTTCAACATAACCTCCAAATTTTGGTTGCAAATTTTTGCTTATGTTGTATGCAAACACACTCAGCTCACACATGTAAATAACCAAAAATATTTTCAAATTCATTAGAATCCACTTAAACAAGTAATTAAATACTTTTCAACATGAATTAGCAGAGTGCACTTTTCTTTTGTTTACAATTTGGTTGCCAAACACACTACAGCTGATCGTTTGACACATTTTCCAGAATTTACCAGCAAAAATTCTCGTACTAAAACTGGTAACTTCTGACAGAGAGAGAACCGTATTTACTCTCTTTTTTGTCCTCTCAATAGTCAGAGAACTGAGTACGGGATCGATTTCCAGTAAAATCTGACTGATTCCGACTATTTCTGAGTCCGGACTGACTTGTACGTGATCGCAAGAATATTGTGCGGTAACGAAACTGTTTTTCATATCGATACTGAAGTGTGTTGCGTGTATATGTACATGCATGCATGATTCGTGTGAGGTACAAGCAGGGATGGAATTTCATAATTTCGAAATGTTCCTAATGGTCTTAAAAAATTGTGCCGAAAAGAATATGAAAGTGCCACAAANCGACTATTTCTGAGTCCGGACTGACTTGTACGTGATCGCAAGAATATTGTGCGGTAACGAAACTGTTTTTCATATCGATACTGAAGTGTGTTGCGTGTATATGTACATGCATGCATGATTCGTGTGAGGTACAAGCAGGGATGGAATTTCATAATTTCGAAATGTTCCTAATGGTCTTAAAAAATTGTGCCGAAAAGAATATGAAAGTGCCACAAAATTAAATTTCTTTTATAATAATTATTTCTTAATATAATAATTATTAATTAACTATATTATCACTTTTAAAAGAGATTTTTTATAAGCGGCATACACGGTGCGTCTGAATCGCGAGTAGGTTTGGATGTGTTAAGTAAAAATAAATATGTGTTGGTTACACCGACATGACTCTGATATGACTCTGAAAGACTCAACTGTGTGTAGTCGAAAGGCGAGTGAACACGTACACAGTTGACTCGCGAGTCAGACGCACCGTATATGTTGCCTATTAGACATAAAACATAAGTTCATAGTAAAATTACACAGAATTCCAATTACGGAAGGGAAATACACCGAAGTACAGCTATTCTGACATTCTTGCACTCATATGTATGTACCGATTTGCGAAGTAAGGGCAGTAAGATATTTTGACCAGTTTCGCCTATTATTTTCATTGATTATTTTTTAATTGATTTTAAATAAAAGTCTAATTCATAATTTAATAAACGAAATAAATGTACACAAATCGGCTTTTCAAACTTTGTACAAAAATTATAAAAACTCAGCAGGTTTTCGCAACAAAATACTTTGAATTCAGAATTTTGAGTGAGATGAGTTTTCGATGTTATGCATTTTTTCCATATAAAGTGTGTTCGAAATTTTTTTAAACAGATCAAAATGTACGACACCGACAGAAAAAATAAATAAAAAATGATTGGGATATTGCAGAAACTGCCACTTTCATTTAATAAACTACATATATATATATATATATATTTTATGGTAGTGCCAAATGAATTGTACCAAAAGTTCCTGTAAGAATGTAAGAGCCAAAAATGGCACTATTGTGCCTACTTTTCCATCACTGGGTAGAAGTGCTTGATTGTATCAAATTGTTCGAATCGATACAAAAAATGCTGCGTGTATACATATGTATATATGTACATATGTACGAACGAACATTTCCTTACGCTGCAAGATTCGTTTCGTTACTGACATAATAGTCTCGTTATTCGCATGTTCCGTATATGCACCATCAACGAGAATCAATACACAACAACATATCGAGCCTTAACCGCCAAAATAAAGTAAACGATATTTTTTCAAAATTTTCTTATTGATGCAGAAATGTATCTAGATGCTCTAGGAATATTTCTGCATCAAAAAGAAAATTTTAAAAAAATGTCGCTTACGTTATTTTGGCGGTTAGGGCTCGATATTGTGCGGTAACGAAACTGTTTTTCGTATCGATACTAAAGAGTGTTGCCTGTGTATGTACATGCATGCATGGTTCCTGTGAGGTACAAGTGCTTGATTGTGGCTGCATTTCTTTATTCATTCTGAACGTTTGGAATAAAGTTTTTTGTTTATTTATTCTTTAGAACGTTCCTGATGATATGTTGACGTATATTTCAAACGCATTATGNAAAAAAAAAAATGATTGGGATATTGCAGAAACTGCCACTTTCATTTAATAAACTACATATATATATATATAAATATTTTATGGTAGTGCCAAATGAATTGTACCAAAAGTTCCTGTAAGAATGTAAGAGCCAAAAATGGCACTATTGTGCCTACTTTTCCATCACTGGGTAGAAGTGCTTGATTGTATCAAATTGTTCGAATCGATACAAAAAATGCTGCGTGTATACATATGTATATATGTACATATGTACGAACGAACATTTCCTTACGCTGCAAGATTCGTTTCGTTACTGACATAATAGTCTCGTTATTCGCATGTTCCGTATATGCACCATCAACGAGAATCAATACACAACAACATATCGAGCCTTAACCGCCAAAATAAAGTAAACGATATTTTTTCAAAATTTTCTTATTGATGCAGAAATGTATCTAGATGCTCTAGGAATATTTCTGCATCAAAAAGAAAATTTTAAAAAAATGTCGCTTACGTTATTTTGGCGGTTAGGGCTCGATATTGTGCGGTAACGAAACTGTTTTTCGTATCGATACTAAAGAGTGTTGCCTGTGTATGTACATGCATGCATGGTTCCTGTGAGGTACAAGTGCTTGATTGTGGCTGCATTTCTTTATTCATTCTGAACGTTTGGAATAAAGTTTTTTGTTTATTTATTCTTTAGAACGTTCCTGATGATATGTTGACGTATATTTCAAACGCATTATGTTTATTCCGGGTGTGAAATGGGATTATCGGGAAAGTATAAAGAAACGCAGCCTGTATCAAATTGTTCGAATCGATACAAAAAAATGTTTCGTGTATACATATGTATGTATGTATGTACATGTATGCATATGGAAGAACGAACATTTCCTTACGCTGCAAGATTTGCTGCGAGGATTCTTGTGAGGTATAAGTGCTTGTATCAAAAGTAACGAGTAAAGTAACGTATCCGAAATTTCGTTACTTTTACAGCTCTAGAAGCTCACAATAAAGTATCGCTGTGGTGGGTTCCGGGACATCAAGTGTTGCAAGGCAACGAGCAACGCGTGGAGCCCAAATGCACTTGCTGGGTCCCTAGCTTTTTTTGAGCTGGTGGAGGTAACCCCAGAGCATATTCTATGTTACTGTCCACGTATCATAAATTGCAGACTGATGCACTTTGGGGAACTATTGTCTTCTTCATCCAAAATTTTAAACATGGCGCTCTCCAAAGTGCCTAACTTCTTAAAGAAAATAAGGTTGGAGTGATTACAATTACGGACGGAATAATAATAATAGTAATAATATGTATGCGTCAAACATTTGTGTAAGTCTGTACAGTAAAATGAATTATTATATGTAGTTAATCTGTTTTTATTGTACTACTGTGTTTTAGTTTTTCTAAATGCTATGTTATCTACATCTATATATATAAAACAATGTCGTGTTAGTTACACCATTTATAACTCCAGAACGGCTGAACCAATTTTTATGATATTTGGTTTTGAATAGTAGAATAACTTAAAACAACCGCTAGGTGACGCTGGAGTCGAGTTATTGGTAAAACCCGTATCTAGTGTCCGATTCGCCTCATATTTGAGATATTTAATGACAATAGGAAAAATAGTAACAACAATACCATTGCAAAAAAAAAGAGCCGCCAGGTGGCCTTGGAGTCGAGTTATTACTAAAAATCGTGTTTATGGCCCGATTCGTCTCACATTCGAGATATGTATTGCAAATAGGAAAAACAATNGCATATATGAGCCTTTTTTCAGGGAAGTGGACCAGGGACCGATCTATTCGAAAAAATCGTATTTATGGTCAGATTTGCTTTTTGCCTAGATTAGCATATAGGATCCTTTTTTCCGCGGAGTGGACCAGGGACCGATCTATTCGAAATACCCGTATTTATGGCCCGTTTTGCTTAAAATTTGGTATGTAGGTAGCTTTTTTCCGCGAAGTAAACCAGGGAACGATCTATTCGAAAAATCGTATCTATGATCCGATTTGATTAAAATTTTGTACGTAGGTAGCTTTTTGCCTGGATAAGCTTTTCCAATTTTCATGAAATTTCGAATATAAATAGCTTTGAGCAACCACCATATCAAGGGGCGAATTCGTCACTAGGCAAGTTTTTTTTGCGACAATCAGAAATAACGGATACAGCCAAAATGTAATAATAATCAGGGCTATCACGGAATCCATCGTAGAAAATCTCCGAATTCAAATGCCCGCTACGAATACGAAAAAATTGTTATCACTGAATCCGAGTGAGCTCGAAAATATCGTTGCCAGCTTCGAATGCTGATTCGAAATCAGTTAGTGCAAAGGAAACAACAGACATTTATGTATGTCATTTTGCTCACGCTACCCCATCAGGCGCAATGGTCGAGTGTGCAAAGCACTAGACTGCCAATTGAGAGAGCCGAGTTCGAGTCTGAGTCGTGGGGCTGTGGAGATTTTTTTCTTTTTTCATTTAATTTTTGTTTATTTTTTTAATAAATATTTTTTTTTAGTTTATTCTTAGCTTAGATTTTATTATTTTAAATACAAAAATATGTCTTTTAAATAAATTTTTATGACTTTAAAGTAATTAGGTTTATTTCCTAATAAATTGTTGCTAAACTATTATTTCCTCGATTCATACAAAATATTAATTCATTAAATAGCGTCTAGCAGACATTACATTAGAGTGGTCCAAAATAATAAAGTCGGAATTTTAATGCCGCCACCCCCTAGGATTGTTCTGAACCGAAAATAAATATACCCCTATTTTTTATTTTGAAATCAAAAAAATATTTAGGGAGTGCTCACAGCGCTCAAAGTTTTCCATGTTTTTTATATGGGGAAAAACAAATTTTCGTAAAAATGACAAAAAACTCTTGAAAATCAATATTTTTCAATCGTAAAACTGTGGTTCTCTTCATGAGACTTCAAATATTGATATCCAATTGTTTATTTAACCATTTGTTATGATTAAATATTTTTTATTGGTCCCCCCATTGCATTTTCAAGGACCCATAAAATATAGTCACCATGAAATTATTGTTAAAGGAACAATTGGGTATTATTACCGGGAGTCTCCTGAAGATAAGCAAAGTTTTCCGATCGAAAAATATTTTCAAGAATTCTACACTATTTCTACGAAAAATTGTTTTTCCCCCACATAAAATACATTGAACACTTTGAGCGCTTTGAGCACACCCTATTCTTTTTATTTCAAAATAAATATTTTTTTTTTATTTCAAAATAAAAAAATAGGGGTATAATTTTTTTGTTATAGAACAATCCTAGGGGCTGGCGGCATTAAAAATGCGACCTTATTTTTTTTTACATACATTTTTGAACCACTTTAATGTACATACATATGTATGTATGTATGTATGGCATTGGTATTTTACGTCTACGTTTACACAAATATATGGAATTATATCAAAGTATAACAAATTTGGAGTATAATAAATATTTAATATTAAAAATAATGCAGCTTTCTTCCACTATTTTTAAGATTGAGTGATTTTAAATTTTGTTCCGACAGCATAATCTCGTCGTAGAGTATCTGTACGAATCTTCATTACGAACGGATTCAATGAAGGCTCTCTACGAATTTCGAATTTACGTTCGTAGCCATTCGGATTCTGTGATAGCACTTTCGTAGATTTCACGAAAATCGAAGCTACGATGGATTCTGTGATAGCCCTGAATATATATTATATTTATACTAATATATATTTTGAAAGCCATTTTTTTAGTGTTCGTAAAGCCGGAGAACTGCTGAACCAATTTTTTTTTGAATTTTCAGACACCTGCCGCACGTGTCCCAAGGATTATTTTAGGATAAACCAAATTCTATATGCAAAAGGGGCGTGGCACCTCCAATACAAACCGAATTTTCTCATACTCCATATCTCTGGAAGTGTTCATGGTAGAGTTCTGGAACTTGGAGCTATTGGAAAAGGGGGCGTGGCACCTCCCATACAAACCAAAGTTTTCATACTACGTATCTCTGGAAGTGGTAGAGTTCTAGAACTTGGTATGGAGATATACGAAATCAATCGCATACTCTTGTAGAAAAATTGGAGCTATTGTATTTTAACGAAATTGTTTGTGTGTGTTTGAGTGGGTCTCTGTTTTTGTTTCATAATTTAATCCGCCAGTTGGCGCTGTAGAGGATTTATTACTAAAAATCTTATTTATGATCCGATTTGGCTAATATGTTAAATATGTGGTGGTAATGGTAAGAGCAATACTATTGCAAAAACGTGCTGCCAAGTGGCGCTGGAGTCGAGTTATTACTAAAAATAGCCAAGTGAGAAAAGGTGACGTGAAGGTCAGATTAAATCGACCCGTTGCACCATTGAGTATATCGAACTCCACTGTGTTACTATTGGCCCAATGGATGTGATTTTTCAATATTATTATGCGTTCCAGCTTTTAATGTATTTCGTCTGAAATAAGTATATGTACATATGTATATTGCATTTCTGTAGAGCAATGATTCGCACCCATTTTGAAATTTCCACTAACTGTACTGTAAAGCTTCTAGGCCAGATTTACTATAGAAACGGGTCATTGTTGCCGCCAGGTCGTGAAGAGGAAAAAATTCTTCAAATTTGTTTCGTTTTGCGAATAACAGTGATATGAAATGCTGCACAGTTGGAGAATTTCAACAACTTCTTCACGGATATAACACTTTCCTTAGGTTATTTAAAGCGACAAATGACCACCAAACCATAATCTTAGCAGATGAATGTGCCAATGAAAATCGCAAACGTGAATTGTTGGTGAAAATGTTGGCCCAAAAAGTTTCAATAAAAAATAAAAATTTTGTGCGGGACAAAGTCTTCCGGGTCTGCTAGTTTTTATTGAACTTGACATTAAAAAAAACTTAAAAACTTAAATAAAATTTTAGTAGGTTCTTGTTGACTTTGGTAGGAAAAAAAATTGTCCGTGGCAAAACTAGACTAAATGTTTCTTTGTGCATTAGAAAAAAAGGAAAACAACAACAATAGAGGGTTTAATTTCATGAATAATTTTATTGAGTAAACTTGTGGTTTTGAAGTGTAAATACAACGTTTTCAATTGTATTGATTACTGCCAAAATTGACACTAAATATTGTCTAAACAAACAAGTAATTTAACAATGGTCAGGAAAAAGATTGCTAAGAATTGTGTTATGATAAATTAAAAAATAAAATGGAAAATCGGCCCCGAAATAACGAATATAGAGCATCTTAAGGGTGTATGCGCGCCTTTTTTGGAATGCGGATTACTGTGCGGCATCGCGAAAACTATAAAATTTATTTAAAAAAACAAGGTGGTAATAAAAAGATGATATTTCTTGTTTTCTAACCGTACCCAAAAAAAGTTCATCAAGCGCTACTTTTCAATAAATTTGAATTCGAAAGAGTGCGCTTTCTTTTCGTTACAGTCTTTAGGCAAAGAACATAGTGACGCGACAAAGAGAGCGACAAGACATTTTCGGATAATAGCGAAGAAAGAGACAAGAAACGTCAAAACATAGTGAAGCAACAGTCGGCTCAGAAAGCAACGAAAACAAATTTTTTTGTTTTCGACGCTTTGCTCTTTGTCGCTTTTTTCGCTTTTCGCTTCACTATGTGCTGCCACATTGAAAAATAAGGGTTTGTTTTTGTCGCTATTATCCGAAAATGTACTGTCGCTCTCTTTGTCGCGTCACTATGTTTTTTGCCTAAGACGTATAAATCACTCAAAAGTTATAAAAGTTCAAAGTTGCAACAAAAAAATTTAATTTTTTTTCTCATTTCTCCTAAATTGAGACTCGTACACAATTTTAGCTGACATATTTTTTTTCTATGCCCAAATTGAGGAACATATCACATTTTCTAGCTGAAATTGAGAATGGTGTCCAATTTACGAAACTTGGGGCTCGTGGAAACGTACTTTTCGAAAATTTTTTCGTACGAACTTCTGTACCCCATTAAACCTTAATAATGAAATGCAAGCTTAAACTCAATTCTGAATAAAAATTTTGAAACTTTGGTTAAAATTTTTCGAAATGAGGATTTATATGGTGTTTGTTGCATAACTAGCACTTTTATAAAATATTAAACATTAAACAAACTAAAGAAACGTAGCTCAACTGGTCAAAATAAGGCGAGTCTATTATTTCCGCTACTATTATCTGCAGTAGTCAAAATAATTATAGCCGCGCCACATTATGACAAGTTTTAACATATTATTTTTGTTGTTATTTAATTCTGGTTATTTTTTATAAAAATATAGTTCATTCTTTACCGAACCCATGTTTCTATACATTTCGGCTGCAGCGCCAACCATTGGGTCCATTTTCTGAAAAACCATTGCTTACCATAAAATTAATACGTGTTATGAATTTCAACCCCTACTCCAGCGGCACTCATCGGGTCAATTTTTATCAAAATAATTTTTTATCATACAGGTACATGCTCACATTTAAAATTTGAACGAAATCGGTTAATAAATATGATTTTTATAAATAGCTCTACTCCAGCTCCACGTAGCGAGTTTTCTAGTATCATGTAATAGGACTATATATGTAAGGTATATCTAACCTCCGACAATTTGACGGAACTCTATTCAGTGGTTTTTGAGTTTAGTCCGAACACCGAAAACGGCTATCATTTTATGCAAATAGGTAGTTGCGATTCCGTACGAGTCCGGACTAGTCAGAAATAGTCAGAATCAGTCAGATTTTACTGGAAATCGATCCCGTACTCGGCTCTCTGACTATTGAGAGGACAGAAGAGAAAGGAAATACGGTTCTCTCTCTGTCAGAAGTTACCAGTTTTAGTCCGAAAATTTTTTGCTGGTAATTTCTAGTAAATTTGTCAAACGATCAGCTGTAGTGTGTTTGGTAACCAAATTGTAAACAAAAGAATAGTGCACTCTGTTAATTCATGTTGAAAAGTATTTAATTACTTGTTTAAGTGGATTCTAATGAATTTGAAAGTGTTTTT